GGAAGGTTCAGCATTGAGTAAGAAGACTCTCCAGTTTCTGAAATATAATGAGAACAGGTAGCACATCCTTTTCCCTTCTTCCCTCTCACTTGTTGAGTAAACACACAAGCAAAGTAAGAAGAAGCAGAAAGCAAGAGAGAATTGCTGGGTCCTTGCATGTGGTTCCATTCCACCATTCCACTTAGCAACATACTGAGCAAGGACATAGAAGGGATGTGTGTACAGGTGGACATATGAACATTTTCTTTCTTTCTTTAGTCTGTCTACATTTCAGATCCTGCATTGAGAACATAGGCACCAGAAATATAATGGTGTTTCTTCTGCAGCCTGTCCAGTGTTTCATCCACCTCAGTGTAAGACCAGATATACTAGTCAGGTTAGCCTAGAGTTTCTCTCAGTCGCTTGTTTTCTCTTTGCTGGCAATTAAACCAAAACTAAAAATACTTAACAAGGGGTTCATTAAAAACTGGGACCATCACTTTAGCTTGCAAAATTATAGTGGATTCTATCATTCTTGCATAAACAGATGTGAGCTGCGCAATATGAGTTCTCCTTTCATTGGAGCAAAAGGATTGCTAAGAATTGTTTGGATTCTGCTGGTGCAAACAAAATTTAGGATTGTCCAAAAAGGAAACCAACACACTTTCTAAAGTGGAGAACTCACCCACAAGCTTCCATCCACATACCTGGCTTTGAGGTGGATTGGCTCTACATTTAAAGTTGAATGTCCAGCAGTCAAATGTGGCCTCTGCTTTCTTGGCCCAGCAGTCTCAGTTGAAGTGGAGACACATAGGCTTGACTATTCTTGCCAGGGATTCTGAATACCGAAAGCCTGGTAGATATGAAGGGAAATCAAGCTGGGATGCTTCAGACCTGATCAGTCTGAAAAAAAGGAGGCTGTGGTTGGGTTTTCCAAGCATGTAGAAACATAAAACAAGCTTCTGATTATTTTCCAGTTTGGAACAGAGACTTACTTGGTGTTCAGTGGAATCCCTCCATACCTGGGAGCTGGAAGGGAACAGAGTATTATTGTCCCTGGCTTCCTGCTGCATGTCAAGGGTGCAGTGCAAGTTCAGGAACAAAACTCTACCTCATCGGAAAAAAACCCCCCAGCTCTGACAAGTGTAAAGTTTTGGTTGGCCTACAAGACCATACCCTACATTTGTACATCTCACTGCAGGGGCGAAAGTTTGAAAAAAACATTCAGCTGTGTTTCAGCAACTAAAATTAACAATCAAAAATAATTCCGAACTGCCTCTGGAGTTTCTTGCAGTAACACTCCTCAGAATAATGGCATAAAGTATTTGTGGAACTACTTTGTCCAACGGTGCATTTGTGTTCCAATTGACATTTGTAGTGCCAGCATTAAGCATTTTTCCTTGTTAACTTGTAAATATTGCATTCATGTACTCCTCCAAGAGTTGGCACTCAGTCAACTCTGTCACTATTTTCCTTACAGTATGGGCCTCTATTGTTCCGCTACTGCTGAGAGACAATAGCTTTGCCCATGAGGTCACTGTAATTTCATTAGCGATCAAAGGGACAAATGAAGTGAGCTCTCTTCTCCCTCGCAAAGCTGATCAGATCGTAATTACACATTATTTTTAGTTTACTTAGTTATATTTATTAAGCTACTGCTGTGACGCCTTAGGCAGAGTCAAGAATTAGCAAAACATAAGGAGAACCATCAACCCTTAAAGTCTCTCATATGGTCAGTTGCTGCTATGAAGTATGGAAATACCAGTGCATGTACACTCAACTTTCCTGCTGCAAGAATATGTTTAGTCCTTTCAGTGAAGAACCAATTCTGTGTACACTCTGAAATTTAGGTAAAGGGTGACCCTCTTACTTACAAATAAAAGGAAAGAATCCAACTATAGAATCTGTGTGTGATTAATGCAGCAAGTATTAGACTCCAGAGTATTATTTTTGAAGATATTTCCTGTGGAATGAACTGTAACTCAGCTGTAGCACATAGTATCTGACAGATAATATGAAATTCTGAAAGTTCCCTAAACATCTAATGAATTTAGGTTTGCTCAGGGAGATGATTGGAAGTCTCCAAGGCTGAGAACAGGACTCCTTGAGAGCCAAGATTAATGGTGCAAGAATAGCTTGTCAGACACAATACAACCTTGGTTCTTTTCTACTCTTTTTGAACTCTGCCTCCACAGGGTTCCAGAATTGCTTACATCAGTGAATAATGTAGTTAGCTAATTGTGTAGTTTTCCATGATGGTTCTAGTTATCAATCTGTACTCCAATTGTAATCCTGTTTAAATCTATTTTTGCACCCATTTCTTCTCCCTTCCATAGCTTGGGGCTGCATACATGCCAAAAAAAAAAAAAAATTGTAATGCGGCAGTTGAGCACATGTTCTTCATGCAAAAGGTGTCCAGTTCAATACTGAGCTAGACTAACTTTGGTAGAAGGTAGTTTTCCAACTGGAGATTGGGACCTCATATTGATAATGAGCAAAAACAACTTCCTGCAAATGAAGACATAGGGAGGAGCTCTTTCAATAGGACATCCATATAAAGCATTCATCTTTCTAGTGGATTAATATGTGTAAAGGAAAAATATAAATGTAAGAGGAATCTCCAGCTTAGAGTTGACTTGGTTTCCAAAGTCAGATTTTTCACAAGATGTTACTTCAGATTCCACATTGAAATCTTAATATATAACCTCTGCTTTGTTTTCTTAGCCTGGGTACACACCTTCTGGAGTGCACACAGAGCACTCTGCTTTAGAAAACTACAGGGGCAGAGTGACCTTGGAGGCAGAATCATGGTATTCTGTCAGGAAATAACAAATCGCTAAACATTTTTCACCTGCTGGAAAGATTATGCACGTTTAGTAGAAACTTGTCTGTTAAGGATGAAAGAATGTGTAATGTGGTTTGGTATTTTCACTTCCACTTCTTCCTGATGGGAACGGGCCGAGGGCTGAAGTTGGGGGGGAGGGGAATAAATCCAGAATGAATCATTTTGGAAGAGTCCTATAAATCACCTTACTCTCTTTTTTCCATCGCTGTTAGCAAAACCAACGTATCCCCAAAAGTGTCTTACGTAGAAAAGAGAGGTTATATATCTCCTCTCAGATTTTTGAGGATATTTCTACTTTGCATCTTTCAGATAAAAGTTTGAGAGAGTAACTCTGAAATGTGAAAGGGCTACTACTTCTTTTTATCATTCTTGTTGTGGGTGTTAATTTGATTTCTGCCCTGCCATTTTATCCAAATGGCAGCTGAGTTTGCCGTCTGTCCTCCCAGCTTAGCTGCAGAATGCTCTCATCGGCTTGGGAAAGGAAGCCTTTTCCCCCCAACAAAAAAACCAGCTTTGGGAGCCCTCCCCCCCCCCCCCGCAGAACCTACTGGGACATTATTGTGCACCTTAAAGCTTGACATTAAGGTGTGTTAAGTTATACTTGGCAGAATGCCATCTTGCTTAGCCAGGGAGTGAGAAGTGCTGAAAGAAGTTCAGGGTTGGCTGGCTGAAATCAATTAAGACTACCTCAGTGTTGCTACTGGTTGCCTGGGCCTGAATATAAGCATTAGTGATTAAAAGGGTTGTTTGGTGGGCCGGTGTAATGGGAAGAAGGAATAACTTTGAGGAACAGGAGGAAGAGCCACAACCAGGACAACGGTCAGATATCTGAGTCGGGGGCAGAAATGCAGTTTGAGAAAACGTCTCAGACTTGACTCTCCCTAGATCTCACGAAGATAAAGGAAGGGAGGGGGGAAGCATATTAGACTTGTAACTTTTTATAAGTAGTATTGGAATTCATAACTTTGGTTTCCTAGTCTGGTCTATTTTGAAGGGCTGACAGCCAGCCAGAATCCAAGATGTCTTACTGGTGACAGAATGAAACCCAAAAGAGCATCGGGGTTACCTGATTTGCACCCTCTCTTCTGATAAGGTTAAAGATATTTATGGGTAAATATCAATAGGCCATTATCCAGTTTCTTCCTTTACACATGATTTCATGTGCCGCTTGAATCTAACGTCACTGTGCTTTGTTTTCTACTTGTAGCCTAATCCAGCACAATTTTCCCAGAAATAAATGCCACTCTTTGCTTTGGAGTTTATACCTTGGAAGATGTGTTGAGATTGCAGTCTTTAAAGGTTCAGAGTCCTAGCTTAACTGCACATTGTTGCTAACCAAGAGGCGTGGAGACCGACCAGCCATCTAATCTAAGTCTCATCACAACTATCCAGTTATTTGTTCAATTCCATTCCATTCCGTTCCATTCCATTCCATTCCATTCAGTTCATTTCCTATGGCCACCCATCTCACCATGGTGATTCTGGCTAACAGCCATTAAAAAGCACAACCAACATAAAAAATAAAGTACACAAGTGGCAGCCAAGGTAAATTTAAATTTAATAGCTATTTTGCATCCACCCGTTTAGCTAGTGTTCATTAAGTTCCCTATTCAAAGAGAAGTTTAGATACTGACTGCAGGGTCATCTATTCCAACTGCTTAATATTTTTCCCTAGTTGCTCTCATCCATTTCATAGAACATCTTTCTTTCTTCCCTCGTTGCTTCAGAGTTGTGAGACCTGTTCCCAAACATAAAACTCTTGCTATATTTGGGAAGTTATATGCAATTTTTGTTTCCAGAAAAGAAAATTATGGATATTCACTACATTTATGATGAGGATGTGCACACTTTCTCCAAGGATGGAGACTCCATGGTCATTAGATGTTGCTGAGCTACAGTTCCCAGCATGTTATTCATGCTGACTATGGTTCCTGATATTGTTCCCCATCTTGTTCTGAACCATAGCAAGATCATCAGTTGCCGTTCTATTTTGAGTCTGTGAACAGAGTATGTCTAGATCAGCTTCTGCAATCTGGGTACTTGCAGATATCTGGGCTTTAATTTCCAAAAATCTCAGCAAGACCCAGGTTGGTGAACTCCTGAAGTGGAAGGGGGGGCATTGAAAAAGTCTGGCCTAGATAAAGAAAAAATGTTTTTGGGAGTGGCCAATGATAGATGTAGCCCCTTCAACTTCCCCAGTTCCATTGACAATAATAAAACATTAAATGCTCTAGGAATAAGCAACCATTATTAGTCAAGTTCGCCCACAATGCTGTTCCTTCAGAGTCTCATGAAGATTGCAGCACCATCCTTTCTCATCATTGGTATTTTCACTGGGCAAGTTTCAACACAGAGAGGAGATGGCTGTGGTTTCACAGATAGGTTGAGACAAGGGCCAAACTATTTATGAGCAAAACACAAGAGATATCCTGGCATGGTTTATTAGTAACCCAGACCTTCAAAACTGAGGACACTTGTTCCACTTTTAAGATGCTTTGTGATGATGTAAATACCTCAAATACCTTGCTTATTGAGCTAAGTGGTATACACTATAGATCACAGCATTTATTTGCTTTGTGCTTATGTTTCTGCTAATACCTATATCCCTGGATTACAGGTCGAAAGTTTAAGAAGTTTAATAAGGTCAAAATGCTACGAGCCTTAGACGTTGTCTCACTCCAACAACCAGCAGCCCTTCCAAATGAAAGCCCAACTTTGGTGCAGAGGCTTTCTTTTTCACCAAGTCAAGACGTTCAATTTATCCCTCCACTGATCACTGTCTTACAAAGCATTGAGCCAGAAGTTGTCTACGCAGGTTATGATAACACAAAACCAGAAACTCCAAGTGCTTTGATGACCAGCCTCAATTACCTGTGTGAGAGGCAGCTCCTCTGTGTGGTCAAGTGGTCCAAGTCATTGCCAGGTAAGAAGGATCTTTTGATGTTGGAAATTGTGTCACCCTATTCCATTGTTTTCAGATCTCACCAAGGGCACTGTGTGCAATTATGGGCATCATTGTGTATGAAGAATGCTGACAAGCCATTGGGTGCCATATTTTTTTTACAAAAATTAAAATTTGATTTCTACCATTTTAATCTGTTAAAATATATATTTTTATTAAATTTGGGGTTCAATATGAGGGTGACAAGCCAAGAGATCAAGAAAGGAGGAAAGAGTTAGGTATGTTTAGCTTCAAAAAATGATCAAGAAGTCATTTAATATCCATATTCAACTATCTGAAGGGCTCTCACATAAACTGATGGTAGAGTACATTCATTTTCTTTTGCTTTGGAAAGATATTTTCTAACCTGATACTAACCATACAGTTAGGGTGCAAAAGATACCAGTCCCAGAAAGCATGGCTGTTGTTCTAGTGGTTAAGGTGTTGGTTTAGGAATAGGGAAACTCAGGTTGTAGTCCACGTACAGCCACAGAGATTCACTGAGTGCTTTTGGACCATTTGCTCTTTCACAGCTCAATCTACCCCACAGCATTACTGTGCAGAAAAATAGGAAAAAGGAACACTCTGTATGCCTTCTTGAGCTCCTGAATGAAGCGGGGAATATGAATCTGATACACAATGTTAAATAGTAGTACAACCCAGCTGAAGAATACTAGGCTGCTCCAGAGGGTAGGTACCTAGACAATAGGGTTTAGGTTATAAGAAAAGGTCTTCAGAATATTTTAGTGGCATATGCTATCCAGCAATAGAACATTATAAGGGGATGGATGTCCCTTTGTTCAAGATTCTGAACAGGAGTAGGGATGTTGCAGCTGGTGGTTGGAGTTGCTGATTCTGGGGCTCCATTTAATTGCTCTTCTTCTGATATTGAATATGTCTATACCTTGTATGGTCTTTTATCTCTGTGCTATTCATCATTTTTCAGTATTAAGACTGAAGCAGAAACACTGACAATTTCCACGGGTTATTAAATGTTATCTTTTGATAATAACACTTTTTAAAGTAGCATTTAATAGAATCCCACAGAACAGGGCCGATGATTGTAAACCTCTTCTCTGGATAACATCAGTCAGTATCTTGATGAAGACCAGCTTTTTCCAAACTGCTTCTTCCAAATAAGTTGGACAAGAATTCCCATCACTGTCATCCACTGTGGCTAACTGACATGATGGATAAGGATGATAGGAGTTATAGCCAGGCTGATGTAAATGTTAAAAGGCAGGACCAATAAAAGAGAATCTGGATGGATTGAATTCAACCATTCTAGTCCATATTTTGGCTTACACAAGACTCTCAATAGTGGAGCCAAAACAATGTTGTTTTTAAAAACCTAAATGATTTAGAATCTCAGCCAGCAAGAGATATCCTTATAAAGTATTGTTATGTTTCAGATGTTTTGTTAACATACAGTAGGCATATATAGAGTGCTGTTCAGTAGGGTGGGTTAGATATCTGGAAATCTATGTAAATGACTATTTGGCTTTGATTATATAGTTTACCTTAGAGCAATGATGGAAAAATATAACCTTGTTTAGTTCACTTTGGTTTCTTTTCTGACTGCTGCTGTGAATCAGTAAAGAATTGAAGGATTGAGTTTTGTCTTGAAGAATGATTGTGCTATTTGTTTAAAACTTTCGCAAAATATTTAAACCATGTATTAGATGTTTGAAGATGGCTTTGAAGAGACTTCATTGCTGACTGAGGTAGAAACTTGGTTGTCCTTTAATCTTTGTACATACCGAATATGAATCTGAATAATTAGAGGAGACATCTTATGTATTGTATAAATAAAAGCCACAGTTTTTAGTTATACAAAATGATGACCTGATGGTTTCCAGATGATTTCTGGAATTAGTGTCATTCTCAGCTATACCATAATTTCTGTGTGAATTCTGGGTCAGGAGAAAGAGGAGAGTATAGTGTGGTCCTCTTATTTCCTAAATAAGTGTAAGTTCATTTTGTCTGTGGTAACAGTATGTTGGCTTAGCCTAAGCTAAGTGAAGGGGAGCCTGCTCGTCATATCTGATAGTAGACCAAACATGTGACAAAATCTCATTACATATTTAGCATCCCTCTTCCTTTTTTCCTTTCCAGGATTCCGGAACTTACATATTGATGACCAGATAACTCTTATCCAGTATTCATGGATGAGCCTAATGGTCTTTGCAATGGGATGGAGGTCATACAAACATGTCAGTGGTCAAATGCTATACTTTGCTCCTGATCTAATATTAAATGAGTAAGTGTGATTTATAGTTTTTTATATATTCATTATTTCAATTAATAGCCTGCTTTTCTTTGTGTAAAGCATTCAGTGTGGCCAACAGTCCAAAATAAAGGATTCAGTCCAAAATAAAGGATAAACAATGATATTCCAAAAAAAATTATTATTATTAGTCTTAGAAGTTTTTCTTGCTTTCCTTATTTATATGTTATCTGTCACAATTCTAAAATGGTTTAACAGCACAGTACTGTCATTAAAGTAATTCAGTCTCTAGTATAATAGTAAGAGTGCATTATGAATGAAGGAACTATTATCCAGACAGGGCATTATTAAGAAGTGAAGCAGAAAATTTCATTTGTTGAGTTGGTAATTTGATCAAACTTTTAGTTGATTCCAGTTTTAAATTAATGGGCTGGAAACTAAACACATAGCTATATAGCTTTTGGAGGTAACTTTGATTTTGATGCATTATCATATTAATTATGTGATGTTCTCATGGATAATCCCATAATTATGATGTTCCCATAATTATCTAATGTTCCCATCCCATTAATTATGGGATGGTCCCATGGGAAACTTGGGAATGCTTTGACCAATGATAGGGAGGATTTTTAAAAAAGTATTAAAAGATCTTAAGAAATCTTCAACTATCTTTTCATTGAAGTTTTCCTGCCCCCTGCCCCCAAAACAGTCCAAAATCCTGTTCACTTTTTTTGTAGGAGGGCCTGATAACTTGAAATGGGAAATGAGGGGAAGATAGCTTCAGTCCCATTTTAATTCTAATGCTCCTCTCCCCACCTTCTTTTTTAAATGTTCAGTACATCTTCCATTTCCTTAAATACTGTATCTCAAATACACTTATTTGTTAAGGTTTGGGCTATAAGCAAATTTGTATAACCAATTCCTGAGTCAGTCCATGAAGGCCGTAGTCCTGTACATACTCACCTTGAGGTAAAGTCCCGTTGAACTGAGTGGAGTTAACCTTTAACTAGGCATGAATGGATTGCATTATAATACTCAGATAATTAAACAACTAAAACATATTTTTAATTATCTCACAGCCCACAAAACACTTCATGGAGTTATGGCCTGCATGTTCCTTTAGTGGCTGGTGAATGATTTTTTTCTACATCAGCCTTATAGAAAGTGGTGATAACCTGCTCCTGGATCCTTGGCTTTATATTAGACTTTCTTCAGAGACCAGAGTCTTAGAAATCCAGATTTACTACAGCTAAGTCGAGATTTAGAGACTCAATTTAGAATCCTCGCTCAACTCTACCTAAGCCTAGAAATTGGTGCCATCTTGGATGAAAGAATTCCATTTTCACTGACCAATCCTTCTGTGTTTACTAAAGTTTTGTACAAGATTGTACAGGATTGTACAGGATTGTACAAGAGCATTGTACACAACTCAGGATTGTATAAGAGCGCTGTACAAAATGATAACACAATAATGATAACACAATGCTGGGGGAGGTGGGCGGCATACAAATTTAATAAATAAATGAATAAATAGAAGCGAATATGTGCAGCTCAGGGTTGAACTGTGGAGTCCTTGGGGTTCTCTGAGCTTGGTCCTTTTCTTGCAAACATTTCATTACCCGGCTAGGTAACATCTTCAGTGCTAGAATGGGATGGGGTTTGCTCTCTGTTTATATACTGTGGCCTGCCTTGCCAGTGCTGGTAAGGGTGGGTTTTGTTTTTTATTTTGCTCCTCTGGTAGTTCTTTGATTGGCATCTGTTTACTGCTTGATTGTGTGCCTGGTGGTATCCTTTGCTTATCTGGGTGACGATTGCGGGTGAGGTGATC